TCGATATAAAATTTGCTGTGCCAGCCAGACCTATAAATTTGACTGCATATCTATAATTAGATCCGACTGCTTGGTTCACTGTAAACACGTGATAAAATGATGCCAAATTTTTATATAATTTATAATTTATTTTTAGCAATGACATCAGCATATAAGCATAACAATGACAGCTACTACTTCTGCTACAGATGATCAAAAACAATCTTTATGATACATATTGTGTCAAACAAGATGTACAACAATCTTTAGATTTTTTTACCGTAGTGTTACCAGAATTAAGATTTAACGCTAATTTGTTAGTCGAAATACCCTAATTCCGAACCAAATTTTTATTTCTATTTTTATTTTATTTACTTTATTTTTATATCCACTTATTCATTTATTCCTTATATTTGATTTCTTATTTTATTTTTATCTATTATTAATATTTATTTACATTTTTATTATTTTATTTGTATTACATTTTTATTTTTATTCGTATAACGTCGAAATTAGTTGACTTTATTTAGAAATTAGCGTCGCGGTTAGAATGGTATAGCAACATTTACATTAACAGTCATGATTTAATGGTAATAGTAAAATCATTGATCATCCCAGAAAAGGAAAGAATGTGATGATGATCTTCTCTAATGGTTTCTTGGATTTTTTAGGTAGGATGAAATGGTTTATTTGATAATGATGAGCCATTGTCATTGCCAGAGAATAATTTTCTACTGGAACCAAGTTGAGTTTTTTGATATGTTTTTTCCCAGATTTAAAATTGGTGTTAGTTTCTTTCTCTTGAAAAATAAAATAAAAATTTTCTTGAGGATTCAAAAAATACTTGACATCCTATGTTTATGTATGATAATGTGATGTTTTGAATAATACATAGTTGCAAGTTAACTGATTTACTCAAAGCCTGAAAATACTTTGAACTAAGGTTGTGGGTGAAACCTCCTTAGTAATTGCTGAAACCATGGCAAAACTATATTAAATCTTATCAAAAATCCTGTTGAAACTATGCTGAAATGGCAAAACCTCAAAATGTGTAACCTGCCAAAACCCTGCTGATTGATTCCTGGAGGAGTTTCGGCAAGCAACCTTACTTTGAACAAAGGTCAATGATCATAATGATCATACCAAAAAGACAATTCACCTTACAGTATATCAAAATATGCCATTAAATTATAAATTACCCTGCAGACTTTAAAAAAAAAACTAACACAATTTATAATTTTAATAATCCTTTAAAATCACTGCTGCTATTACTACATACAATTATTTGGATTTGCTTACATATAATAATAAGATAGGCAAAAAAAATTTTCCTTTTACATATGGGGTATGCTGTAACAAAACCAGACAAAGTGAACATTGATATTGCTAAGAATTCCAGGGATCAAAATTTAGTCATTTTTAATGTGATTATAATTAACAGTTTTATAATATCCCATTTGTTAAGTGATATATATAACTATCCCTATATATAATTTTATGTTCACTTTGTAGGTTTTCATTTATTTTAAAATTGAAATTGGTCCTGTGGTGACAAGCAAAGTGGTTCCATGAAAAATAGTTATGTTAGATTTAAATTATTTATTATTACTAAAAATGGATAAGATAAATTATCTTGAGATCTGAGATTTATTGATCAACTAAAACAGATAAACAAATAAATAAAAGATAATTATTGTTATTTCTAAAAAAACAATTGAAGAAAATTGTTGATTATACTAAAACATTAAAACAGATTTTTTTATCTTAGAATTAATGCACAATGTAGTCTTCTGAGATTTTTGCTGAATGTATCATTTGATCTAATAAAATCCAATTGAAATTTACTAAAAAAAAAATAAACAAATGTTTGAAATTTTTTTTTTAATTTTTAAAATATATAAATATGATTGTATCAAAAAAATTTGCAACATTAAAAATCATTAAATTTTATACATTTAATATTATTTTGAATAAATTCTTTAAAAACAATACTGTTTAAATTGACTACTACTTGTGTGGTTGATTGAATCATTAACACCAAAGGAACAAAATTAATTATTTCGCAATAAAAGCTATTTGTTTGTTTATTTATTGATTTTTTTTATTAAAATATTAATATTAATTGCATGGTTTCTATTCGTAATACAAATTTGAATTATTCAAATTACTAATATTACTGTATTAATTATTTGTTACTCAAATTATTTGTTTTATTTGAGTAAACCTTATTCGAATACTAACGATTATGATAATGTTTAATACAAAGAGTTTTAGAAATATTTAACCAATAACTTAATTACAATATAAAAGAGCTAGGTTTATTAAATTAAGCCAATAATTAACTAAAAAGTAGGATTAATTTTAGAAGAATATCTGATAAATATTAAATATTGGCACTTTCAATATTTACTAATAAGCTTTTAGACTATATGATAAAAATACCAGGAATATTATTAACTTATTGGTATGCCAATACCTTGATTATTTTTTTAAAGAAGAATATCAGTCAGATATCAGATTCTGATATTTACTGACACCCCCATTACCCAATTTGGCATCATTCAACCAGTAAAAAGAGAACCAAGCAGTCGGATCTAATTATAGATATGCAGTCAAATTTATAGGTCTGGCTGGCACAGCAAATTTTATATCGA